ATATTTTTGTTATATATAATTTAATTTAAGTTTAATAATAAAACAATTTATTTTTGGTTTAATATTATAAATTTTATAAAGATAATAATTAAGTATTCTGTTAGAATTTAATGATTATACTAATTATATTTTAGATTTTTTATATTTAAAATGAGATGTTTATCATGTATTTGATTGTGTTTATCTGCTGTTAGTTACACGAATTCAAATATGGGATGAAATCGGATATGGATGAAAGTTTAGGGATGAACGAGTTTAATAGTTTTAAGAGTTTTAGCCAAATGTTTTATAAAATAGTATAGATATATATATAGAGAGAGAGTGTGTGAGAGAGTTTGTTTTAAATATAACCTGTCGCATTTGTACAACCAATGCAACCCAATAAATTAAAATATTTATGAAAACAATGAGAGTTCATTTATTATGATTCAAATATTTATGGAAGATGAATACGGCCATTAATTATGGTTAATATTTTATATTAGAAAATAATCAAAACTTTTATAAATTACATATTCATCAAATTAAATGGACGGTTGAGATTGAGTTGTATTGGTTGTACAAATGTAATAGATTGTATAATAACTCACCTCTCTCTCTCTCTATATATATATATATATATATATATTGGAGTCATTCAAGCGAGAACTCAGTAATTTGTGACAATTTTGAGATCTAATCTCAACCCCAAATCGATAGATAAATTAGGAACTTGATAATTTTGACTTAAAATTTTGATTAAAAGGTCTTTTATGTTTTTATAATTTATCAGATTTATCACTCCCCTCTCCGGTGAACCTTATTCCATATAATCATTCCAGCAAACACCATATGAACACATGATACCGTGATACCTAGAAAAATCGAGTATGTTAAAAAAGATACATATAAACGGTAATCAATGTGGTATCCAAAATAAATACAAGATGCACAATGTGATACAATTTGTAGAACAGCAAAAATGACGAAAATACACACTATGATATATTTCATTAAACAACGAAAAATAACTAAAATACATATTGTGATACACTTCGAAAAATATACATTATGATTATATTATGTAATCTATACTATATTATAATGCATTTGGCTAAAACTCTTAAAAACTCTTAAAACTCTTAAAAACTCTTAAATCCCTAAACGATTTCATCTCTATCCGATTTCATC